AATGTGTACTGTATGTCATCTAAGACCAAACAGACCCTGCTTAGCTTCCATTCGTGCACCCAGAAACATTCAGGAAAACACTTTTAATAATGTTTGGCTCATTAATAAACAAAATGCAAGTGCATTGGGGATCAGAGACGTAATTGAAATCAGGTAATATCAATGAAGCGGTTTAGAGGCTACGTGTTTTTAATTTGCTTGCCGCCGAGAGCCGCAGCAGAATCGCTTTCTTCGTGATGTAAACATTAATTACCATTTGAAATTCGCATGCAAAGTCCCAACTGCACGATTGTGCCAATCACTGCCGCGTCTGCGCTGTTGTCATGCTCGCGCGAGCTGATTTGTCAAGAGTGTTTTGTGCATCCGACAGTCCACCTGGAATTAAATGCGTTGAATTATTTATCATAGTACCGTTACATCCGATTTCACATTTAGCTCAGCTGAAGACAGTGTAATCTACTGAAGCGGCTGATGGTGTGATTGAGGACACTCGTATTGACCGTGGTAGTAAGGCTGATTGCCTGCTTGTAGGTTGGCTCTAAATTACCTCTCGGTTCAAAGGCCTCGCTTTGCCCGAACATATATATTGGCAATCATCAACGGTAGGGAATATATAGATGTCTGCTCAGAATACCTGATGGAAAATGCACGTGGGCCGAAAGGGTTGAATATGAAATGCAATCAGGCGAGTTCACTACTGGCCTGCTGTTTAGGAGGCCTTCGCTAGATTGGATCAGTGTGCAGAATTGATTGGCCTCATCCCCAGGCCTCAAGGTTGTGTTGATTGATAGATGCGATGCGCCCGGGTCTTGTGGTCATGTCTTAGATAATGCTTGTGATGAATGGGGTGTTATGGCAATGGCTTCCTCTGGCCACCTTGCAAATTATGCATGATGATTTAGCACAGTCAGGTAGAAAGGTGTCGGGGAAAATTGGGACTGATTTCGACCTACGTTGGTGATGTCTTAACCCAGCTTTAACATATGTACATATGGTTGAAGTCAGAATTATTAGCCCTCCTGAATTATGTATATTTTGTCCCCAATTTCCGTTTATAGGAGAGATTTTATTTCACATTTCTAAACATAATAGTTTTAACAGCTCATTTCTAATGACTGATTTCTTTCATCTTTGCCATGATGACATTAAGTAATATTTGACTAGATATTTTTAAGATACTAGTATTTAGCTTAAAGAGACAATTAAAGGCTTAATTAGGCAGGTTAGGGTAATTAGACAAGTCATTGTATAATGATGGTTTGCTCTGTAGACAATCGAAAAAAATCTGAAAAACATTGCTAAAGTCAGATATTCTGCTTTGAAAATGTGAGTTACGTGCCAAAACGGCTGTTTTTGTTTTGGTTCTTTTAACCCGCCCAATGCCAATATTTTAATGTTGCCATGGCGGACAGGAAGGGTCTCAAAGTGTGCATCAGTGACCATAATGCGACGTTTGGTAGACAGTTACACCCTCCAAAATGGGACGCAGATTCAGAATTCCACGAGGTGGTTGTCAATTAGCAAATAATATAAATATTAGTTTTGCATCAGACAAAACATGACATTTAAATGCAGCCATTCAGAAGCACAAAATAGTGCACTTACTGCACTTCAACAAAATGGCAATGTTTATAATCTAATTAATACATATTAAACCTCTTTAACATTATTAAATGTAGAATCTGGATCACTAATATTTGTTGGTTTTCTCTGAGTTGCAGTTCTAAAGTTTAATTTCAAACGGTTTATTTTATTTTCAAGGTCTGAGGTTAACCATCTGCTACTGCTTTTAGTAGTATGGCAATAAATGTCATGTAAAATGGCCTTCAAACTCACATTATTAGTATTTAACATTGAATAAATCACATAAGGTTTACCTGAGGTAAACATTGTCAATTTATCCTGTTGTTCAGCTGCACGAAATAGAAGCTGTTCCTAAAATATAAATTTCAAGTGTTGCTTAGGACAAAAATTCCTTTTAATATGGAAAATGTTCCTTCTATCATGTGCCGTTGCTTTTATTTAGAACATTATTTAAATCAGCCTTTCAGCTCGATAGTTAGGCACAATTCTGTTGATGACATCAATCTGGCAACCTGTGCTTGCATGTGTTTTGAATCAGGTGTGAAATGCCTAGTTCAGCCACTGGGTGTCAAATGTACGTACTGCACCTTTAAGGGGGCTAATAAAATTGACATTTAAAAGATTTTTTTTTCTTTTTTAAAACTATTTTTATCTAGCTGAAATAAAATAAATAACACTTTCTGAAGAAGAAAATATATTATAATAAATACTGTAAAAAAATAATTGTTCTGTTAAACATCACATTTGAAAAAGAAAAAAATTCAATTCAAAGGAGGGCTAATACTTTTAACTTTAACTGTAGCTCACATTATTTTACTACAATTATCATTTTGATTTGCAGAAAAACTTTTTTTTGTGTGCATCGAGTAAAGATTTTTTTTGGATGATTTAGCTCAGAATAATCTTTAGCGAAAGAACCTGCAAATGCACACAGCAGCTGAAATGTTTCAAAGGTCTTTGAATCGCCAAAACCGTGAACTGGCATGCTCTGTAATTGCGCTAAAAACACTATTAAATAGCCAGAGTTTTGATTGCTAACTAGGCTGTCACCTTTGTTAAGGCCAAAACCTTTTACCCGGCTTGAATTCTTTTATGCGAATTCTGAAAGAGCATCAAAAAATGCTATAATTTATCAAGAAGACGTTAGCGTTTGCTTGAAAAAAGTGAATAAATGTCATGTTTTTCTAGTATACTGACTTGTACAAAACTACTCATAAGGTTCTACAATCACATACAATCTCATAAAGTTGAAGTAAAAGAGATGTAAAGCTGTCCGCAGAACATTTCATAAATAGTGTCTCAGCACTTACAATCTCAGTGTGCTTTTATAGCAGGCAGTTACCCAGTTACTCTGTTGTGTGATGTATTCTGCTTACAGAGGCATAAAGGACCATGAACATGATTGTGTTGTGTAAAATGACAATGTAGACTTCAATATGGAAAAAGAATATAAAACACTAAACATCAACACATTTTCACGGCGGCTCAGGGGTTAGCAATGTCACCTTACAGCAAGGAGGTTGCTGGTTCGAGTCCCAGCTGGGCCAGTTGGCATTTCTGTGTGGAGCTTGCATGTTTCCCCCTGTGCCATATGGCGTGGGTTTCCTCCAGGTTTCTTCGATTTACCCTAAAGTCTAAAGACATGAGCTATAGGTAAATTGGGTAAACAAACTTATGAGTTTTTTAATGTGTGAGTGTATGGGTGTTTCCCAGTACAGGGTTGTAGCTGGAGGGGCATCCACTTTGTAAAACATATGCCGTAATAGTTGGTTCATTCCGCTGTGGTGACCCCTGATAAATAAGAGACTAAGCCGAAAGGAATTGAATAAATGATTCTGTGTTGAGATATGAATACTTATGCTCCTGCTGTTAACAAGCAAACTAAACCAGTATCTAAATCAATAAAGCAATTAATAACAAAAACATAATATATACACATACATAATATATACACACACACACACATTTATATATATATATATATATATATATATATATATATATATATATATATATATATATATATATATATATATATATATCGGTGCACTGCGATGTAGACGCGGACAATTTGGTATCAGTTCAGTAATATTCATATCTGGTGTCATTAATCTCATATGTGCTATGTCGCCAGGGAGGCGAGCGCGAGTATTTATACCGCTCCAACTATCTTAAAACGCTTAAGCTGTGCACAATTTCACTGCTTGTGTGTTTTCTGGACAGTCTTACTGACACCAGCACGTAACAGCCAATCGCAGCCCTTTCTGTTGAGCGCCTGACCAATCAAAGGGGTGTAAAAAAGAACCTGACAGACAGGACTTAGAAAGCGAGCGGGATATTTATATTAATTTGTTTATTTGCTATAAATGTTCATGTTGTTTAAAGGTAGTTTATATATCTGACTGTTTGTAATAAAGAACAAAACTGTGTTACAAATAGTATATAAATATATTCATACATTTTAATACAAGAACTGCTGTTGTAAAGAAAATATAAAACTGTATGGAAAGCATCGTCAATGCACCGTGATGCACCGATATATCGAATTGAAACGAATCGATAGCATGATAATCGTAACCGAACCCAGCTGTGAGACCAGTGTAGGTTCACACCTCTAATATAAAATAATGAAAAAACTAATAATAATTTACATATAAAACTAAACCCGCAGCAAGGGATTGTCATAATGAATAAACCATTGAGTCATTTATTAAAGAGATTTATTCAAACAGCTGATTCATCGAAGAATCCAGCAAATGGCCGTCTTTGTGAATGACTTGTTGAATCATTGACTCAACTGCTTTGTTTAAAAAATGGCTTAATCATTTAGTAATAAAGCAAAGGCAGCAGATAGCTCTCAAATGTTCAGCTATACTATTATGGTTTTTTTTCTTGAAAGCCATATTCAGTCTTAAATCAAGAAAATCGCGTAATGTGTTCATTGAACTGTTGTATGAAATCACTGTCAGTGAGAAACACTTCTCTTGCTCATGTGATGTTGCTTTTATGCTACAAAACATTTCATATTTTTAATTGAAAGACCTTCTGTGAGTTTTATTTCTTTTGACTTCTCTACTAGTTTCTCTCACACATGCAGACAGACTGTGACCTTGTTACTGGTGCGACCTTGTTACTGTCAGTTCATTACTCATTATCAGTTGCCATTTAAATCGAATGTAATAAGAACGATAAGAGTGGCGTTGTGTGAGTGTTCATTGAGCGCAGTCTGTAAATGATTGGTGAGGCTGATTCAGTTCTACTTCTTTGTTTGTGAATCTTTTTAAATGATTCTTTCAAAGATAAGACTCAATGTCATTTCCCATCTGTTGATTCTCCAACTGAAAGTGATGAACAAAACTGTAGTGAAGTTGCCAGGTAATTTCTGACCTATTGCATGTGATGTTTTCCTTCTCTAGGTTCCTTTATGATGGTGAATGCTTCGGGTCGGGCATCAGGACAGAAAGCCCACCTGCTCCTCCCCACTCTAAAAGAGAACGACACCCACTGCATAGACTTTCACTACTCCCTGTCCAGTCGGGATGGGACGAGTCCCGGGACTCTCAATGTCTACATAAAAGTGGATGGTGGACCGCAGGGAAATCCCATCTGGAACGCCTCCACTCCGGTCACTGAAGGCTGGGTGAAAGCTGAACTCGCCATCAGCACCTTTTGGCCCAACTCCTACCAGGTAAGCCTGATGTTAGCAATGCCAAAGGATTTTAAGTTCAGAGCAGATTTGAACCTATTTTTAAAGACGTGCTCTGGTTTTAATATAGAAAATGCATTGCACTTACATTAGACATCTCTGCACTTACAGTTGAGGACAAAATGATTAGCCCTCCTGTGAAATAGTGATTCCTTTTCAAATATTTCCTAATATCTTAGTTTTAATGACTAATTTCTTTGTGCATATTATTTTACTAGTTATTTTGCAAGGTGATAGCTTTCAGATTAAAGTGCAATTTAAGGGTTCAACTTGGTTAATTAGGCAATTTAAGTAATTAGACGAGTCAGTGGCTTGTCCTGTAGCCAATCAAAAAGGAGAGTACTAATATTGACCTTAAAATAATTAACTAAAAAAAAATAAAATAAATACCACTTTATTCCAGTCAAACTAAAAGAAATAAAACTTCTCCAGAAGAAACAAAAAGTAAATACTGTGAAAATGTGAGGCGACAGTGTTAACCACTGCGCCATCGTGACTCCCTACGGTAATATTGTAAACTTGAAATAACTGTTTAATTGTAATCCAATATGAAGCATAAAATATTTTTATGCAAGCTATTACATCACATCTTTACTCGTGATCATTCAGTCATCATTCTAATATTATGGTTTGACACTGAAGAAACGTTATTATCAGTGAAAAAAAATACATTTAAACAGTTGTTCTTTGTATACAAATATTTGTGGAAATATTTGTGTCTTACCATCCTCTGTCTTTTAAAAAAATAATTGCTAGTGTACATAGAGTGTATATTGTATATACAGTTGAAACCAGAAGTTTACATACACTAAATAAAAAGGCACATAACTATTTAAAAAAGTCAGATGTGAATGTGACTAATTTTTTTGTCTTTTATGCAAGTTAGGATTATCACATTTGTTTTTGTTATGTTTAATTGCAGAATAATGAGAGAGAGATTTTTTTTTGAGAAATTTGCATAACTTTTCTTGAAAGTCAAGTTTACATACAATAAGATTAGTATGCCACTGAAGAAGCTCAGATGATGGTTTTGGAAGTGTCTGGCTAATTGACAAGATTTAAGTTAATTGGAGGCACAACTGTAGAATAGTATTTAAGGAAAACCTCAAACACACTGCTTCCTTGTGTGACAACATGGCAAAATCAACAAGCCAGAATCAACAAAAAAAAGCCAGACTACAATTTGCTAAATTACACTGGGAAAATAATAATTTTTGGACACATGTCCTGTGGTCTGATGGAACTAAGATTGAACTGTTTGGCCATAATGACCGGTGTTACATTTGGAAGACAAAGGGGAAAGCTTACAAGCTTAGGAACACCATCCCAACTATGAAATATGGGGGCGACAGCATCGTGTTGTGGGGCTGTTTTGCTGCAGGAGGGACTGCTTCACTTCACAGCATAGATGGCATCATGAAGAAAGAACATTATGTAAGATTACTGAAGCAACATCTCAAGACATCAGCCAGAAAATTAAAACTTGGCCACAAATGGCAAATTAGTTTTAAATGTGCTTTAAGAACAACAGAATGAATGTTTTTGAGTGGCCATCACAAAGCCCTGAAATCAATCCTATAAAAAATTTGTGGGCAGAGCTGAAAAAGCTTGTGTGAGCAAGACAGCCAACAAATCTGACTCAGTCACACCAATTCTGTCTGGAGGAATGGGCCAAAATTCCTGCAAACTATTGTGAGAAGCTTGTGGAAGGATACCCAAAATATTTGACCAAAGTTATACAGATTAAAAGCAAAGCTAAAAAAAATACCAAGGAAATGTATGTAACCTTTTTACTGTCTAGAAATTAATAAATAATTCTCCAAAATAAAAAATTCTCTCATTATTCTGGCATTTAGCAAATGTAAATCATTTAGTAATCCTAACCTAAAATAGTAAACATTTAGTATGATTTACCATCAGGCATAAAAAAAATGGTTCTATTCCTTTTATAGAGTGTATGTAAACTTCTCGTTTGAACTGTATAGTGTAAATTATATAGTGTATAAATAGTGTCTGCAGTGTAGATAAAAGTATATAGTTTATATAGTGTAGTGTATGGAGTATAGTGTTTGTAGCGTATATAGAGTATACATAGTGGATATAGTGTATGTAGTTTATATATATAAATTGTATATATGCTGTATATTGTGTATATAAAAGTGTATAGTGTATATATAGTATATTTAATGTATATGTAGTGTATGTAGTGTGTATTTATAGAGTATATAGTGCATGTAGTGTACAGTATATAGTGTATGTGTAGTGTATAGTGTATAAAGTCTATAGTGTATGTAGTGTACAGTATATAGTGTGTGCATATAGCGTATGTAGTGTACATGTAGTGTGTGTATATAGTGTCTATACAGTGTATATGTAGTGTGTATAGTTAAATGGCTGAATCATTAGCCTTTTTTCTTAGACCTGATTAGCAGGACAGCCATGATCAGCGAGCTGTTTTTAAGCATGACGAGTTTTGTGGAAAGCCGAAAGCACTGCGAATTTTGTTCCCCTGGCCACCGAAATTGACTAAAGTTTATTTTCTGCCTCATATTGGTGGTGAATGGCTGCAATTGAACCGCAGAGAGGGGCAGTAGATTGCTCTCTACTCCAATTACCACTGCAATCACTGTCCCCTAATCTAACCCACAAATGGCCCTGGTGAATAAGCTTTTAGCTGTTAATTTTAGATCTGTCTTTTTGCTTATTACCTCTTACTCTCGCCCCCTGCTTCTTTTTCCCTCTCTCTTTTGCCTCTTTACACCCAGATCTCTCTCTCTCGCTCTCTCTCGTTTGCTCTCTGCCTCTTAGTCTCTTTACCGTACTGTCTATATAGATTCACCGTTCAGTCTGAGGAATGAAATACCCTTATAAGATTAGCCGTGTAATTGAATTAACTAATGAGAAGAGCAAATATTTAGCTTGTGATGGGAATACTGAACTGCTCCTGGCAAACAGCGGACCAATATTTGCTAAAGGCAATATTTGCTGAAGGCATCTATTTGACCAGCAAGCAATATCAAGGCTTTTGAGTGTGTGTGTAGTTGATCTTTTGGGGTCTACACTGTAAATAACAACATCTTTATATGTATACCTTTATACATATGTATGTTTTTTACAATTTGTAAAAAAAAAAAACGATTAACTTAATCCATTTTGTAACAATATGAAGAATTTGTGTGGAACCCAGCATTTTTTTTTTTCACAGAGTAAGTAAATAACAATTAGAAAATAAATAAATATAAATTTAATTTAAAAGTGTACTGAAGTATTCATAGTGAAGTATTAAAATTATTTTTGTTTTATTTACATTTTGTGGTGAAATATGACCCGGACATTTTCTCAGCAAAAGCTGTGAGATTCACACTCTGTGTTTGTTCCCAGATTGTGTTCATACAACGACATTTCAAGTTTTTAAAAGCACCCGCTTCTCTTGCTGAGCTGAACTTAATAAATTACCTGTTAAATATCGAGAACTAATATCTACTGGAAAATCAGCCCTTGGGAGCATAAAGTATACTGAAAAATATCCCACTGTGACTTTGATTAGAGCAACGAATTTGCCAGATAAGTGGCCAATTTTGCCAAAACGAATCTCTGGGTTAATTGACTTGTTTCCTGCCGTGTTACATTTTAAATCGTAGGGTGCCACTTTCAATGTGACAGTGTTTAAAGGGTAAAGTTTCATGATATGCAAAAGGGATAAAAAAGGCAAATGAATTCTGTCTCTTTTTGAACTTGTGATGGTACATTTTAAAAAGTCGTTTTTTCCCCCCATGTCATCACAGTTTTGGAGATCATTTGAGTCAGCCATAATGTGGTGAATAAATTATGAATACAGAAATGTCCTTGAGTAGGGACAAGGCTGGAAAAATATATTATATGAAGGTTTATTTCATTTAAAATTGAAATGATTTATTCAAACCCTAATGTCATTCCAAACCTGTATGACTTTCATACAAGATAATGATGATACTATTAAATCCTTCAAAATATTGAATCCTTTTTATTTAAATTTATCTATTTAGAAACTATTTCAACAGACTCCAGTTATACTACACATTTAATTTAATTTAATTTAATTTAATTTAATTTAATTTAATTTAATTTAATTTAATTTAATTTAATTTAATTTAATTTAATTTAATTTAATTTAATTTTTTAAATACATTTTAAATAAATTTTTTGTAGAATTTTATATTATTGTATATATTTACTTGTATTGTATTGTATTTATTTACTTTTAATTTTATAGAATTTATTAATTTAATTTTATTTTATTTGGAATTTTTATTATTATTCAATTTTATTTTATTTATTTTGTTTTATTTCATATAATTATTTTATTTTACAACACAAATATTTTATTTTATTTTATTTTATTTTGGGGTTGCCACAGCAGAATGAACCATCAACTTATCCAGCGCATGTTTTAAGCAGCGAATGCCCTTCCAGCTGCAATCCATCTCTGGGAAACATCCATACACACACATTCACACACATACAGGTTTTGTTTCATACATGTTTTGTTTTATTTGAATTTATTTATTTATTTCATTATTATTGAATTTATTTAGTTTTTTAAATAGATTTTTTCTTATTTAATTCAATTTAATTTAATTTGATGTTGTTTTATTTTTTAAATTTAATTTAATTTAATTTTATTGTTACTCAACAAAGCAAAACAATGAGCAACCAAACTACTAGTCACAGGCACGCACGCACACACACACACACACACACACACACACACACACACACACACACACACACACACACACACACAAAACAATTAACTATACAATGTATCACATTGTGATTTGTGCAAACACACACCTTTAGTCTCTACAGTCTCACTAAATAACATGATGGTAATCAAATGTGGACTTGTATTTTCAGTCCATTGACTGATCACACTAAGGCCAGTGACTGGAGTGTATTTTGTGTCCAGGGGCCTCATGTACGAAGACTTGCGTGGAAATCTTACTAAAACATTGCACAAAGCTGTAAATGTGCGTACGCAGAAAAAAAATCAGATGTATAAAACCCTGCATACGCTGAATCTCACGCATATTCTTTTGTACATCTGAATGAACGTGAAACTGAGCGCAACATGCACGAGCACAAAACCCCTCCCTGCCTCCTCCCCCGTATGAATATGCTAATGACTCTACTTTGGCAAAACCCAACGAAAAAGCAACGGCAAAATCAAGCAAAAAGAGAAACTTTGAACAGAATGTGAAATGGAGGTGCTGCTTTCGGAGGTAGACCGGAGAAAAGCGGTGTTATTTGCAAATTTGTTCTCCGGAATTAAAAACAAAAGAAAAAAATAGAGTGGGAGAGTTTACCTGATGCGGTTAACACAGTTGGGTCTGAACATCGAGAGTGAATTAAAAAAGAAATAGTGTGGTGTATAGGTGTAAAATGTTGCATTACCCATAACAGTCTCAGTGGCGCAGCTCGTAAGACGCATGTGATCATGTATTGACACGTTTGAGCATGAACTTGGTTCGAATCCAGCGTCTGATGAACTCTCTCTTCTTTTTTCCCTGCTACATATCAGATTTTGCCTACTAGTTATCACGAGAAAGACAAGTAGGAATCATTAATAAGTTTGTGCATCATATTTTATTTGCACATTTATTGAATGGAAATGTTTCTGATTCACGCATGCAAATTCATCTTCAGATAGTGTCTTTATAGCAATATGCGTGAAGTAGATAGCTCAGATTACATTGGGAAAACAGGCGACCGCTGCAAATTGTGCTTTAATGTTTAGCTGGTCAAATGTATGTTATGGAAACCTTATATACCTGCTAGATGAACCCGTCTCATACAGCTGCCATTGCAAGGCTCAGACACTTTGAAGAGTGGAATTTAACACAACTGCCTCTAGGAGTCGCCAATGGAAATAAAACAGACACGCACAAAAAATGTGCGTACGCCTGCCAGAAAGCTGGAGTGGAGCTGCGCACATTCCCACGTTCAGTTCATTGTTAGTAAATCCAAACGTGAGCGATTCTGAGCGTGAAACCTGGCGTACGCAAAGTTTTTGTGCGTACGCAGCATTGATACATGAGGCCCCAGGTCTTACTGTTTTAGTGCCAGCTGTTGGCAGCTCTAAGAAGAGAGGGCATTGTTCAGACCACACACGTCTTCACACATGGCCTGTACAGTATGCCATATAAACCATGCCAGTCCCTTGATTTTGAGTTTATTGTAGTTTATCAGATTATGTTTTGTAATGTTTGCTTGTGCTCTCTTTACTCAAATAAATGCAAAATACAATTGCGCTGCCATGCAAACATTTCTAAGTGTGCTGCTAGACTGTAGGCTAACAATGTTTTAGTATCATGGAGATACTATTGTGGCTTTAATTAATATAAAGTACTGTATTAAAGTCATTGTAAAATCAAATTATGTATAATTGTAGATGTTTGTATCAGTATGTCACGCTTAAGGATATCTATAACCAAATGTGCTCCAATTTAGTGACAAAATTAGCATCTAGAAGATATAAACATCCAAAGTTTGCATTTTATTACTTCCACCTAAATGGATCAATGATTTTTTTACATCTCATTAAATCTTCTGACCAATCAAATGCTTTCTAGTATCTGACATGCCCCGCCCCCTTCAAAAGGGGGCTTCTCATTTGCTTTTCATTTGATGCGTCTCACTGGCAGAGCTGTGATAAAAACAAACGCTATTGGCTGTTTTTCAGAAAGGGGAAGAGCTACTATATGGCCTACCCTGTCTTCATGATTCAGTTGATATTATGTGAAACATTAAATAAAAAATGTCACATTTAAAAGCACCTCATAGGACTTTTAAGTATTTAATCTCTCATTCCTTGGTGGTGTTGTTGTTGCAGTTGTTTTGTGGTCCCTTAAAATTTACTTTACATTTACAATGATTTTTAAATGTAAATCTTAATTTTGATTATGTGAATAGGCCTTTTTGTCAAGTAAAAATCTCTCCTGTTGACTCTGAATGTTTTTGTTTTCTTCTTGAAACAAATGGACCGTTTTGCTTCAGTCTGAAACAAGCTGACTTGATTTAAACGCTTGATTTCCTCTCCTCTTTTTTCTCATTTAGGTTATTTTTGAGGCAGTAAGTGTACAAGGGCATCCTGGGTTCATCGCGGTGGATGAGATACATGTTTTGGCCCACCCTTGTCGTGAGTACACACACACAAACACACACATATACACAAACACACACACACACACACACACAGACACACACAAAGAGTGCCTGCTTACTTTCACAGTCTTGGCTACGCTGTAGGAGTTCAGTCTGTCAACTACTGTGAAAAGCACTTCATGTGGATCGAGGGCTGAACAGAGATGGAAAAGGCCAGCAAACAAGCAGGTCTGTGCTGAGGATGAGAGAGAAAGAGAAAGACAGACTGCAGAGTGGCCATTCCTCCATCTTTCTTGTTTTGACAGAACTTTAGCCTTTGACTTGCTTTGGCGTAGATCTTACTCTCATTAAAACAAGGCTAGAGGTGAAATTAAGGAAATATTTGTTGATTCATGACATTTTGTAGAAGTCAAAATGACCATTGGTGCTTTTTTGTATGATTCATCATTACATTTGATCAAAAAAAGGTCCAGTAACACTTCATAATAACATACACACTATGAATCATTTATTAAGCATTAGCATCTAGTGAATTCATTATCAGTTAAGCTTTAACTCTACATTAATAAACGTTAGTAAGCAGTTTATAATTGGAGCTACAAATGCTCTATTCTTGACTTACAACCACATTTATAATTTGCTTAATAATTGTATTTTCATACTATTTTAATGATTTATTTTTTTTATTACTAAATGAAGTATTGCATTATTTACTAACCAGTTAATTAAGGGTAGTTGGTGGCTTTTAAGATCATTCAGAATGAGTTAGTAAATGATTAAAAAACTATTGAAATCAACTTTTTCATATCTTATTATTCAGGCATATAGTAATGGCTACTATGCATGTTAATAAATGCTTTATTAACTCAGCTTTATCCAGTTTTGTGACCTAATCTAAAGTGAGGACTATTTATGCTTTATAAATCCCTTAAGAATAAAATTAAAGGCTCAGGATCAAATGAACAATAATCTTTGCAATCTTATCTAAAAAATAAAATTACTGTAAAGTTCACACATTGGCAAATAACAGGAGTGTCAAAATAAGACAATATAAAAATGTAATAATATAATAAGAAGCAATGTTTAAACTTTAATTTTATTTTACTTAAGGTTTCAAAGATTTATTTGTTATTTGAAGTACAGTTTTATTTGTGTATCTTCAAACGAATAGGAATGAATAACGTCGTTTATGTCATTTTGTTTTTATGTAATTTAACTGAGCCTTTAATTATCGTTTATAAGCGATTTAAAAAGCATAAATAGTCCTCACTTTAAATTAGGTCACAAAACTGGATAAAGTTGAGTTAATAAAGCATTTATTAACATACAAATTAACTATTAGTATATGTCTGAATAATAAGAATTATAAATGTTAATTTGGATAATTTATTAATAATTTACTAACTCATGCTGAATGATCTTAAAAAACAACCAACAATAATTATGCAAACTTAATTTAGTAATCAAAAATAAATCATAAACAAAATATGAAAGTACAGTTATTAAGCAAATTATAAATGTGGTTGTAAGTCAAGAAAAGAGCATTTGTAGCTGCAGATATAAATTGCTTATTAACATTTATTACTGTAGAGTTAATGATTAACAGATAATGAATTCACTATTTGCTAATGCTTAATAAATGGTTCATAGTGTGTAGTTATAATAAAGTTTTACCAAAGATCCCTCTTTATATTAAGCGGCCTTAACTAATATGTACCTGCATTAAAATTACAAGAAATGTAATTAATTCAAACAATTTAAAATGGCTTTTTATTGTTTATGGGGATTAGAAATATCATTCCTGTGATTTCTGTCCAATCAAATCACACATAGAAGGTAAACCGCATCATAATGAACGATCTCAAGACATGGGCGATTTATAAATGCAGCAAAATGCTTGGAAGCACTAAAAGTGTCCAAGTACATGTCCAAAATCTTTACCCGTCTTGACCCAGAGACTGTTTAGATGCATGTCACTGAGAAGATGACGGATGTTTACTGTATGAGTACCGAAACACCCAGCAGGCACAAGACATCAACATGACGTCAAATTGATGTTGTACTCAACGTCATGCGGACATTGCATTTTGTTTTGAAATGAAAATGAAAATCGGGTTGACATCAAAACCCAACATCAACCAAATATCAGCATCTAATGATGTTACAGCTTGAGGTTGTGTGGATGTAACCACTATGAAATCTATTAGATGTTGGATTTTGGTTGCTATATCTGACGAATAAATGTCAGTATTTGACGCCAAAATGACAATAGTTTAAGATGTTGGCTCGACGTTGGATTTTGGTCGCTTTCTAACAACCTGAAATCAGCCAAATATCAATATCATTTGACATTGTTATTGGACATCAAAATATAAGGTTGTCCTTATGCGCTGGCTAGACATTGAATTTTGGTCACCTATCATCACATCCTTGAGCTAATATTAACAATATTGAGGTTGTGTGCCTGCTCTGCAATCACTAATTGCACTACAGAATGTTACGTTTACACACATCCACAGATAACATGTAAACGCATCAGCTTTTTACAGCGCAATACGCACCAATCACTACTCTTGAGTACTTTTGAAAGCTCTTGAGTAATTTTACAACAGACACTTTTACTTGTACATTTTTAGGCAGATAATATTATTTTTACTTAAGGATGATTTTTCAGTACTCTTTCCAGCACTGGTTACAGGTTAGGGACAGATCTGTTGGTATGTTTAGGTTTAAGGGTGTGTTATTGATTAAGGCACAGGTGTCAAATCCAGGAGGGATGGAGCCCTGCAGAGTTTAGTTCCAACCCTGCTTCAACTCACCTGTAGGTTCAAACAAAACTTAAGGACTCAATTAATATGATCAAATGTATTTAATTAGGGTTGGAACTAAATTGTGCAGAGCTGCAGCCCCTCCAGGAACTGGATTTGACTCTTGTTGTCTCAGGCAGTGTTTCTCAACCACCTTCCTGGATGACCACCGACACTGCAAGTTTTGGATGTCTTTTTCGTCTGTCACACCCAATACATGTTTTTTAGTCTCTGCTAATGAGCTGATGATCTGAATCAAGTGTATTTGGTTAATGAGACAAGGAAAATGTGCAGTGCTGGTGATCCTCCGGGAATGTGGTTGAGAAACGCTGGTCCAAAGGATGGTCAACACCATAATTATAAATGTGATTACAGATATAATTACATGCATGTACTTAACCAAGCGTAAGTACAATGTAAAACATGTATTTACACAATAAGTGAATTGAAACCAATTATTAAGTTCAGTGTCATTTGAGTATAATTAAGGCCACTTAATATAGACTGAGACCAAAAAATAACCTAAAAAATTACATTTTTACTTAAAATGATGTATGATTACATAAGTAAAATAGAGTAGAAATGACAAAACTTACAAAAAGTGCTGTCTTCACTCAGAGGAGCCATTGCAGTTGTCAAAATGAGCCACACTGCTCTTGATTTGACCATCCATTTCTAGTGGGACAATTTTTTCCATCTTTTTTTCGCTTTTTTTCCTACATCCTGTACGATAAAATACATTTTTATTTTGTCAAATGTGCAAAATGACAGTCTTTACTTTTAGAGGTGATAACTGAAATCCAGTGTGAAGTGGCTATTTGACATTTACATACAGTGACATTTTTAGCTGACACTTTCATCTGAAGGAAATCAATTCATCCTAACAATGTAGAGTGCATCTTCACATAATGTGCATAGTATAGTTTCATAAAAAAAAAAAAAAAAAAACGTATACAGCTGGAATTGCAAAAGTATGCAATAAGCTAATATTTCATTCCACACATCCAAATGTTCAATAAATGTAATACAGAGTCAGTTGAAGTGGCACACATATAGATGAAGACAATGTCTTATCTTGATTTTCATGTGCCTTATGAATATGGGTGTGCAATTTGAAAGATTTCATCATCAAATGTTAACGCACTCCAGGTTACAGTGGAGATACTGAGATAAAATCTATATTTCAAATGACTTTAATTGAATAAGATTGATATTGCTTTTGTGCAGAATGCATACATGCACATAGATAATAATGAAGCTAGCAGTGAATGAGAATGAAAATTATTATACTAAGTGTGGAGAACGAGTTTCCATTCTATTTAAAGACAAATTCACCTGTAAATATCCGTACATAGCGGCTTTATTAATGATTGTAAATGAAGGCTCTACTCAATGACTAATTTTACTAGTTAAAACATGCATGAAAGAGCTCAAACAACCATCTAAATACTTGGAATCCTTAAATTAGATACAAAGTAAATGCTTTTTTAGACAAGATTTAACAAGATAAATATTTCACAAAAAAGTGTTCAGTTTGTTTTGAAACTATACCTTAAAACAGCAGATCTATATTGCACTTCTTTTGTGGTTGTCAAATATTTGAATCAGTTTTATGTGTCTAAATATATTTAATAGTATTGTCATCATTTGTTTTATGTTTTTGAAGGCATGTGTTATGTTTGACAGGCAAGACGCCACATTTCCTGCGACTCCAAAATGTGGAGGTGAATGTGGGACAGAACGCAACATTTCAGTGTATTGCTGGAGGCAAATGGTCACAACATGACAAACTCTGGCTACAGGTGAGATATGGATGCAATGGATTCAATTCAATTCAATTCAATTCGATTCAATTCAATTCAATTTAATTTAATTTAATTTAATTTAATTTAATTTAATTTAATTTAATTTAATTTAATTTAATTTAATTTAATTTAATTTAATTTAATTTAATTTAATTTAATTTAATAACTGATGTACTGGCATGACAAATGTTACAAATGTATTGCCAAAACATTTATAAAGTTTACATAAAAAAGAACATACACATATAATAAAAAACACAGTAAACACAGTAGATAGTAGTAGTATTGTATATATATAATATTTATAGTATTTATAGTATAGTAAAATAGTATTTTATATATATATATATATATATATATATATATATATATATATATATATATATAAGTAAATAAAAACAAATGATATTTCATATTTTTCAATATATCATATTATTATTCAATACATCATATATTATTCACATATAACAATAAAAAATAATAGATCAGAATAAACTACACTTAATAATCAACATTTTAGGATAAAAAAAAACAATAATGACTCTCTTCCTCTCTCTCTCTCAATCAAAGTTGAACATTGAATATGTCTTTTTTAAATTAGTGGAGAATTTTGGAAACTCTTACTAATATATGGGAAATAAATCAATGCATTTGTGGAGTTGATAACGACAGAGTCTCTTAAGATATAGGTTTGAAAGTGTTCTTATAAAATATGTTTAAAAGTATACTGTCTCTCTGTAATCATGTGAAATGAATTATTAGTTTTATGTTTTGATAATTTTGCGATTAAAGTGGCTCGACAAGTCAATGACTGTTTACATGGACATCAGTAATCAAATTATCTGCCTTAATCTAAATAAGACAATATACTATGATTAAGGTGTTAACATGAGTTGCTACTTGAATGTTCCTTTCATGTTCCCGTTTTACATGTTATAGCACATAGTTCGATTGCTTTTTGGTGAGCCTGTGCGAAGTGCCACCCAGTGTGGTCTTCTGCTACTGTAGCCCATCTGCCTCAAGGTTGCATATGTTGTGCGTTCATAAATGCTCTTCTGCAGACCTCAGTTGTAACGAGTGGTTATTTGAGTAACTGTTGCCTTTCTATCAGCTGTAACCAGTCTGGCCATTCTCCTCTGACCACTGGGATCAACAAGGAATTTGTGTCCACAGAACTGCTGCTCACTGGATATTTTCAGTTTTTTGGCCTATAAACCCTAGAGATGGTTGTGTCTGAAAACCCTAGTAGATCAGCAGTTTCTGAAATACTCAGACCAGCCCTTATGGCACTAACCACCATTCCACGTTCAAAGAAACTTAAATCACCTTTCTTCCCCGTTCTGATGCTCGGTTTGAACTGCAGCAGGTCGTCTTGACCATGTCAACATGCCTAAATTCATTGACTTGCTGCCATGTGATTGGCTGATTAGAAATTTGTGATTAACGAGCAGTTGAACAGATGTACCTAATAAAGTGGCTGTTGAGTGTACAGTGTCAGTTATTGTTATGAATGTGAATCATCTCTTATTATATGTGTGCATGTACAGTAACGTTCACATCATTTGCATTGAGAGGTTTTGATTTGAACCTTGGTCTCGAGACACATCGCTTGAAGAAACTTAATAACTTGTTGGAGATTTTTGTCAGCAGGATTTCTAAGCTGGAGTCTGTGTCTATGAAGTCTTGGATAAAATTACTTTTTTCCGTTGGCTGGAGACTATAAGCCTCCATCTATCCTGTGCTACGCTTCTGAGACATGAAGAAATAACCCCAGCTCACACAGAGTTTTAAGAGACTGATGTCACACTATGGTCCACCTTTTGAAACACCTTTTAGAATATAATGTATTAACATATCTGTTATAAAAGATCAATCTTATTTGGGTTTCAGCAATCCTTATTCTCCAAGTGAAAGTAAAACATGTATACAAGAGCTCAAACAAGCATCTGAACACTGAACACATCATTAAATTAGATGCAAAACATTTAAATAAACGTGGTTTTTCAGGACACGTGTGTGTTACAAGCTAAATAGTTCACAAAACAAATGTTAATTTCACCCAAAATTGAAAATTTTGTCACTATTTACTCACCCTCAAGTGGTTAAAAACTTTTTGAATTTCTTTCTTCTGTTGAACACAAAAAAAAGAAGATACTTTGAAGAAAGCTAGAAACCTGTAACCATTGACTCCCATAGTAGGAAAATGCAACTACTATGGAGGTCAATGATTTCTTCAAAATATCTTCTTTTGTGTTTAAAAGAATAAAGAAACTCAATTAAATTTGGAACCACTTGACGGTGAGCAAACTATCTAAACTAATCTTTTGAGTTTGTTTTGAAACTACCGTAGATCATAAAACAGCATATCAATATCGCAAACACCTTTGTGTTTTTCAAATGTTTGAAACAGATTTTCAACTTTCTTCAAAATATCTTCCTAAATCAGCCTAAAACTACAAAGATCATAAATATATCAATTTCACAAGCGCCTTTGGGTTTGCCAAATGTCTGAATTAGATTTAGAAATAACCCCAGCTCACACTGTTTTGAGAGACTGAATTGACTCTATAAAACACCTTTCAGAACATAGTGAGGTAACATATCGCTGTTTTGTCTTTCAGCAATGGAATGGTAAAGACACGTCTCTCATGGTAACGCGAGTGGTGAACCATCGACGATTCTCAGCCACTGTTAGCGTAACGGACACGTCCCAGCGGAGCACCAGCCGTTACCGCTGCGTCATTCGGTCTGATGGAGGATCTGGAGTCTCCAACTATGCTGAGCTCAGTGTCAAAGGTGCGTAGCAATATTTGTGCAGTTGTGCCACTTTTATTGAATGATCATGTCATTTTTAAATATTGTGAAATTGTTTTACTGTCCATTAAAATTATTTTTATTGATGTGTTAACATTGAATTAAACAGGGATATTTAAATATTTATATTAATAACTGCACTGTAATGCTGTGTTCACACCAGACGTGGAACGCGCGGATAAATCGCACTATTCGCGCTTAAATACACTCGTGAACATTTGAGTTTACTCGCTTCATTTGCGAGTCAAAATCCGATTCATTCGTGCGTGAAGTCTGCTTCATTCGCGTGTCAAATTCACTTCACAACAGACACAGATTCGCGTGATGGGCTAGGCTTTTGTCTTCCCGGTATGCAGCTGCGTTGCTAAATGGCTAACATGGATTTTATTGAGAAAATAACTGTGTTCATGTGCTTAATGAAGGCTGAAAAACAGCGTCAATTCATTTGGAGCCGTGTCTGAGTCCACTAGATCTTTTCAGAGATGCATCCAGCTCTGTGAGCTCATAAACTCCTCCAGAAAATATACGTGGATGACGGAGGCTTTCTGCTGTACTTCTGACTGAGCCAAGCCCAGTTTGATGAACTGTTGTGGGTGTAGGCAGGAGGATTTTCCCCCGGGACACCAACAACAGGCGCTACGTCATAATCACGCCCCCACAAGAACAAGCTCCTGATTGGTTAACGCGGCGCGAATGTACGCTGAAGTTCAGGTTTTCGTTAAGCGAATTAAACGCTCAATTCGCGATGCGCCATTTGCGCAATTTGCGTTATTCGCGCCATAGGATGTCTATTCGCGTCTTTGCATTGACTTAACATGTAAATCACCCATGCTTGACTCTTCTTTCGCATCTGGTGTAAACGCAGCATATTCGTGTTTTAAATATAACTGTATTTGGCTACATTTAAAACAAAGTGCAATTATTAAAGCGTGAATATTAATACATAAATAACTAATATCTATTTCTAATGTTTGTTTTTTTAATTAATTGTTTTACTGTCTATTAAAATATTTTTATTGATATATTAATATTTCATTAAACTTAGAAATTTGATTATTTATATTACCATCTGCACTGTAGATTGTTTTAAATATAACTGTATTTGACTTTATTTAAAACAATGTACAAATATAAATACAAAAAATAACTAATATCTGTTCTTAATGTTTGATTTTTAATGAATTACTTCACTGTCTATTAAAAAATATTTTATTGATGTATTAACATTTAATTAAACTTGGATATTCAGTTATTTGTATGTAGTGTTGCTTATTGTTTACTTAATATAACTGGAATCTTAAATGCAATTTAGTTGAAATGAAAATAAAATCAAAGACAGACAGTTAGTTTAGTCTGATTTAGAGGTTTTCTTTGTTTTTCATGTCTATTTACTTAAAAAAAAGGCAGAAACAAGCTTAATGGTGAAGATTTTGCAGTATTTTTTCAGTGTACATTTTGCATTCTTGTTGTCTGTCTGAAAAGCAAGTATCCAGAAAGTTTGCTTTCATTTTATGCAAATTACTGTAACTCACATTTCATAAATGTGGCCCAGTGTTCAGGGACATTGGCTTTCAAATGCTGGCGCGCACACTTGCCAAAACACACACACACATGCACACAAAGCAAACCCGCAGCCGAAAATACAGTACTTATAACTGGCATCAGCAGTCAGCAGCAGGAATCCTCCTGAATTGTTACCCACAGAGTGTTCATTATTTCAGCTAGCATTACTAACGACTAGTACCGAGGCCTTGATTCTCTCTGCTTCTTAAGATAATGGGGTGGTAGAGCCTTAGCTTAACTATAGAGAAATTGTGCCACTTATGCAGAACTCACAAAAAAGCTTTGGGTACCTTCCTGCAATGCTTGTTAGCACATGGCATGGTCACTGCACTTGAGAGAAAGGCTAGCATCTGTTTTGGCTGTGCCATGTACGATTAGCATGGCTAAAAACACCTTTAGTGGTGCTCTTTACCCCTGATAAGCTTTGCCCGAGATTCAAGCTTGTCTGCCCATATGGCATTTGGAAAGTAAAATGGAGAAAAAGCTAAGATCCAACCATTTCTTTTTCATTTTTTGGAAAGCTACATGATTAAACCCCTTAATCACTGCAGAGACGTGAGTGCTAATTGTCCTTAGTCTTTATTAGAAGGTGTTATTATTCCTTTCAGATAGCCAAGATTAGTTAAATTGACTTTTTAAAAAGCACTAGAACATTTCTAGGCTAGTAATTCAAAATCTATTTCTGTGCCGAGTGCCAAAACACAGTTAGTTCAATCTGTGTCTGATGTGCTATATATGAATTTGTCATTGTCAGATTAGGTACAGATGAAATCAGAATTATTAGCCCCCTGTAGATTCCACTTTTCTAAACATGATGCTTTTAGTAACTCATTTCTAATAACTGATTTCTTTTATCTTTGTCATGAAGACAGTACAGAATATTTTAATAGTATTCAAGTTAAAGTGCAATTTAAAGGCTTAACTAGGTTATAATTAGGTTAATCAGGCAGGTTAAATAAACATAGTTTGTTCTGTAGACAATCAAAAAAGAACACTGCTTAAAGGGCACCTATTTTACCCATACATGCCAACACTCCCATTTTTCCTGGGAGTCTCCCGTATTTCGGACTCATCTCCCGTATTGTTCTATGTCTCTGAAAAATCCCAGGAGTCCACCCTCCTCTCTGTTTTGGTACGGTCCCCATGCGCCCTAAACCCAACGTGCATTAGATCATTATGATAACATAATATATGCCTTCAGTGATTTCCTGAAGATAAATGATAAAAAGTAGCACAACTGGAATCACTACAGCAGTCGCGATCGTCTGATCTCATATGAAGCAAGAGATTGCAATGACATATGATGACGTGTGCAGGTGGTGTAGTGCTGTCCCAATTCTTAGGGGTAAATTTTCAAGCCCTTCCCCTTCACCCTTGGTTGTAAGGGCCAAGGAGAAAGGTTAGGGGTACAAATATAGAGTTGGGATTGGGCCCCAGTGTCCCTTATGCCAAAACATCTGTATTTTGTATCACCAGAAGAAATTAAAATAAAAACTATTCAAAGCTATATTTAATGGGTGCAAATCATGACCTTCTGAATTATTGACAAGATTATGTTTTTTAAAAAACCGTGAGCATGCAGGGCAAACTTCATTACTCAACGTGATTTATTTTTTATTTGAAAAAATGTTTAGACTAACAACAGATTAATTGATCTTTTTCTTTTTTTTATGAGACCATATATTAACCAAGTATACTTCTTCTTTCGTACTGTGTTGTCTAGTTCTTAGAAGGAACTGCTGACAAGAGGGAAATTGCAGAATAAGAATAAATGTGTGGCGGACTTGGGGGATTTGACTTTTGTCTAATAAGAAGTCTAGACATGTCACAATGAGCTTGATGCTTGTAGAAGTTGTGAAATATATTGAAGGTCATTTAACTGTTCAGTTCTGGTATGCAGAGAAGGGTTGCAGAAAAAGGAAGTATGTTTGGGTACAAGACTGAAAAAGAATGCAGAATGAAAAGTCACACCAAAACTCCACCTTTTAAAATCAGTTGTATATATATGCTGGAGTCAGGGAAATGTAAGTTAATTGCGAACCTCCTTAATGTAATTGTATTGCATTGGGGTAACGTAACCCAGAGCTCTGTCCTCAAATTATTAATTTGTATTTAATAAATTACTAATATTAACATTGAAGAAAACCTTCTCCTGACCTTTTTTTTATTGAACATGCATGGAATTGGCTAGATATTCCAACCAAAGCTTTCACAATATTGGAATTTTCAGCTCTGACCCTATTGTAGCTGTTTTTTGCCTGTGCCTTTAAAGCAAATGAGCGGGTTCTCCCTGCCCACCATTCCAATGTGCCTGTCAGAGTGTCAGAGAAACAGCACAATGACAGACATGAAGGAAGCAGATTTTTGATTCAAGCCTTTCTGCAACGATGAGTCACACAATGTGTTTAAAATTTCACACGCGTTTAAGTTTGCACTGTTTTTGCACTGCAAATGTGACAGAATACACATTAGTATCCACTGCTGTATGGATATCCGTTATGTTGATATACAAAATGAACCTGATTTAGCATTCACAAACCGGGATTGAAGCATCTTCTTTTATAATTATACTGACACGAGGTGGTCACGAGTTACATTGATTTTACCATCTTTAGCTTTTATTACAAGCATGCACTGTTTTAAAACATTTTAAATGTGTAAAACTCATTCTTGCTCACATATGATGATGTCTGATGATCACAGAAAGATGGGCAGATCTTGTAATCCCGGTTGCTTTGCGCACGTCCTGTCTTGTTGATGTGATTATACGTGTTACTAAGGAGACATGTTAATAAGCGGCTGTCAATCAATTCGATGGTTGGGGAAAAAACTCACTCCTACGTCACGTTGCGGTCGGCCTCAAAACGGGTGGGATTTGGATCCTATTTTAACATCAGAAGGTTTGAAAAAAGAGACTTGCTGTCATTATATTACTCGAATATGACTGTGGACACACTATACCTACACACACTTCTGTCCAAACAGCTTACAAAAGATGATTTTCATCATAGGTGCCCTTTAAGAGGGCTAATAATATTGACCTGAAAATGGCTGTAAAAAAAATAAAACAGCTTTTATTCTAGCTGAAATAAAACAAATAATTGTTTCTCCAGAAGAAAAAATGTTATAGGAAATACTCTGAAAAATTTCTTGCTGTTAAACAAAATTTGGGAAATATTTGAAAATGAAAACCAAATTCTCAAGGCGAATAATTTTGACTTTAACTGTATACAGTATGTGGGCATTAACTGTGTTACATTATGTTTTCGGCAATGTTAAGCATGTTTAATATATCGCGTTTTTTAGAAATACCCTGAAATTAGACTGACAATTTATTATTCCATCAACCTAAACAGGCTTTTTATGTTCATGTGAAGTCATTTATAAAAAAAAAAAGGTCCTTGCATATGTTAATATAG